AAGGCGTGGGCAATTTCGTGGCATGGCTAGGAACATATAGCATATGAACAATTTTTGTTCGGTAAACTCTTATAGTTAATTTATTTTGGATCTAATATAGAGCTATCAATGATGAGACCTTAAAGAATAAATATTCCCCGCAAATATTGTATCTGTCTACAACTAACAGCAGAAGCGTGGCATCACTATGTTTATACCACGACCTTCTTTATCTAGCCATATAAGGAATTTGGAAATCAGACAAAGGGGGAACGAGTTGGATGGGTTCTTGATATTCTCGGTCGTTGGGAAACTTTATCACTTTAATCATACCATGTGTGAAAATAATTCACTGGAACATACAGAGCAGGCTTTGGCTTATCATACTCAGTAGCACTTCTCTCAATTCTTACCATATCTTTTCTCATCTTTCTGTATTAAGTGGGTGACATCAGCTGATCCAATTCCAATTCTGGCAGCGTTGCCATGTTTAGTTGTTTACGCTAGTCTACAATAACTTGTTGGGTCCCTAACAATTGATATATATAGGAAGGAAGAATCAAAAAGTCCTTTAAGGGGCCTCTTAGATTGGCTTGACTGGTGGGTGGCCGGAAATACGTTCGTGTCGCTTTAGGGACTGGATGCCAATTTGCGCTCATTTCATGAAGCCCAAGTTTATGGAGAACATATCTTGGGTTGCAGAAACCAAGTTGAAGTCCTAAATCATGCCCCGCTGCCACGCTATTTTACGGATACGGGAGGGCCTAGAGCCGCAAAGCATCAGTAGGCGAGTCCCATCCCGGGTGTTGGGTAATTATCACCAGGTCGAGAGCAATCCGTCGAAGGGAGAGTGGACGGTAAATCGATCATGATAATATCAATGGATAATCGGATAGGGTTTCCAGAGCTGCGGGGAGGTATAGGGGGTTAATGACCAAATTGATAGCTCTGATGGTTCAGGTCGTCGCCTACTATCATACGGTGTGCCATCGCCACTGTGTTATGGAAGCAAGAAAATTTCTAGTATAAGGTACTTGTATATTGAAGCTATATATTGTAAGGAGTTGGTAGAAAGGGTAAAGAGCGGATGTAGTTCCCTTGCTCTTGTCCTTTCGCATCCGTGCGGAGGAGAAGGTATCATATGCATGTTGGGCTATTCCAAATACAGCATAGTAGACGGAGTCATGACTGGTCACTCGGGTATCAAAAACCTTTCTTTCTTTTTTGGTAATGTGATGAAAGAGGATATGATGGAGAGAACTAATTAACAAAGGGGCAGCAAGTTTGAATACGCTAAATCGGGTAGTACCTCTGGACGTTTTGATCGCGACCCTTTTCCTACATTTACACCTACAATAGATATAGGTGACGAACACCCACCTCACTCTGCACAACTAAAAACTCAATCTCTATATGATGCACTGAATTCCTCTCAATTCAGTATGGTTCTGGCAACCTTTCGTTACGGTCAACTTATTCTTCCAGCCTCCCTAATGCTCGCTTTGTTCATATCCAAAAAAATAACCGTTTTGTACATGCCTCTTAGCCGCCTGACACCCTTGAAGCTATGAAGACTCAGCGACAATGGCGGCATACATATATCGCTGCTGGGCTCGGGCTGGGAGTTTATTCGATCTGCTCTCTCACTGAGGACTGCTGACAAGTGAGTCCCTCACACAACCTCAAAGAAATATGCCTACAGATAACATAAATAGTTTCTATGTTGATGGAGGAGAAGCCATACAATGGATTCCTGATAGGTCTCTGACTTAGATGGGGCATATAGGCCATTATCGAGCAGTATAGAGGAGGGAGCAAATAAAAGGAGCACATTGTTGAGGAAAGAGAGGGTTCTTGGCCGTAGAGCGCATTAAAGCGGATGGAGCGGGGGGGCTCACTTGAGAGGAGCTTCATAATCTGTACAGGGCTTGTTGGAAAAGGATTAAGAAACTTTCCATATGGCAGGGATAGGTGGATGTTCTACATACTCACTGGGTGTCTGCGGTAAAGTGGCCCACTTTCTCGGGAGTGTGGTAGGCTAGCCAGCGGGATATCCCATTGGTCACGCAAATTTCTTGCTATACACCCGGCAGAGGGGTATAAAGTACAATTTTAACTGTTCCGCCATCCCTTCGGAATAGGGACGGACATCCCTCTTTATGAAATCGAACAATAAACAAGTGTCAGAAGTATTCTCCATGTCACTTTCTCCTAACTCCAACCTCTCCCCCAATTGTTGGGAGGGACTCGGATATCACGGCCACTATGTTCTATACCACCCCCAAAACCCATGGCAAACAGGATATAACAGCAGCGCCCGCCCAACCACTTCCGGGACCCAGTCACTCCTGTAATACCTTAAAGTTCCCGATGCCACTGTTAGCACCCCCCGGCCCCACGATTTCGCCAAAGCTCAGTGTAATACAAACCAACCTGAGAGATCAACAAAAATCTGAGAAAAAATGCCCGAGGAGTGGTAGCAAACAAATGATAGCAAATCGAGCTTTCAATCGGGTGCGCCTTTTAGTCTTTCTTTTCCCCTAATTTCTAGCCATCCTTTCGCTCGAGTTAGAGACTGTGATATTCAACAACCTTCTAATGCCGGTTATGGGTAGAGCATCAGTGATTCACCTTCCCCACCAGAAATAGATCCTGATGGCGGGGATCCTAGTGCACCTCCCTTCCACGGGTAAAATGGAAGTACGATATGATACACTAGGAACCAGGTTTAACTAGTAGTGTCAACACTGCAGGGTACAAAATTCCCTCCAGTTACATTTAATACGGGTCAAGATCTAGCTGACTAACTGAGCATATCATTAAATGTGTGACTACCTTTTAGCTCTCGTCTCCCTGCCTCCCCGAAAAATACTCTGACGAACTACGCAATCGAACCGGGGGGTTTCGCGAGCGGAGGGTCCGGAGGCTGAGTGTCATTCACCCTGGGACCTTGTCCTGGGACTTCTTAAAGCTTTCTTCGGGGCACTGGAGAAAGGAAGCAATCTGATATCTTAAACTAAAGAAACAAAATAATCAGCGATGACGGGGCAGCAGGAAACGGAACGAAGTCAAATCCGCTGCTCATTTGTAAAGTAGTGGCGTAGAACAAGAAAGAGGGAGGAACCCCAAGTTATAATCAGGGGGTCCCACTTACTGGCAAATTAGTAACCAGTGAGGAGGGTGAGAGACCGTGAATTCCTGTTGGGAATTACGGGTGCTAAATTTACCTCGGTGCTTTAGAAATATGTATGTTAGCGTCCCCAGAAGTCCCGCGTTATTCTAGCACCCATCCGGGGCACGTATCCACTGCCTCCTCGGCCATACCGAGGAACCTGCAAAGGTGAGACGATCGGTGTGCAGAGGTGCTAGAGTTCGCCAAATTATGGTGGAGTGTATTGGAGTTCTGGAGGTAAAACAGAAATTGCATGCTACTGAGCCGCAGAGGAGTGATATCGGGAAACCGGGAATTGTATGTTCATATCACCTCAATCAGGCTAGAAAATAGGCAAGGAAACGGTTATCATACAAATGGAGGAATCCGGGAGTCTGCTGAACACCTTGAGAACCCGCAGAACAGATGTAGGGAGCGCTAACCTCGGGTAAATAGAGGGGTACGTGTTTTAGCTATAGAGACTATGCAACACCAAACCTTGAGATAGAGCACGTCGCCAATTTAAGAAGTTAGATGGCTGTATATCTTTGATTCTACACCCTTTCAATTCCCCCTTTATTTAGATAAACACTCTTCTCAGCCTGATAGCCTGCAGTCATCAGAGTGACTCCAACACCGGAGGGTTGACGGAGCGGACATGCAATCAACCGTGTCTCCCATTAGGTACTATCCTGTCATTTTTCCATGACCGTACCCGCCTCAACATTATTGACCTGGCATTAGTTGCATATCCCGCAGCTCTCTCAGTGAGGCTTTCCGAAGCTCTCTTCACCGCTGTTCCTGTAGGAGGCGGCCAGCAAAAGGTTTAGCAAATCGGGAATGCACGAGCCCTTGGCTTATGGACAACATCTCCCCCCTTCCGCCTGATTGGTTTTGAGCTGGGACTGCCCAACCCCTAACGGCATCAACTTCCTGTCATCCCGCACTCCATCGCATTGAACCATTCTCGCGGGGTTTTAAGGAACTCTAGTAGGGCTACTGATGCGCTTTTCCGGCTTGGGGACATTGCCCCGTGTCTCCAATAGGGAACCAGAGCATTCGGGGTGTCTGGGATTAGTTACCGTCTTCATATTATCTAATGTGTATGGTAAGATAATTTAGTGGTGAGAGATTTCTTGTTGGACTCTACTACATGGCCAGCGATGGCTTCTGGTTTGTGATAATTTCCGTTTCTTGCGCAACAACATAGCCAGATTGTCAGCAGTCAATACTTATAGGGTCACATCATCTAGCATAAGGACTTTCGAGAGCCCGCCCACTCATGCGAACACATCACCGCTGACCCACCATGCTTCCCTTGGTATCGCGGTGTCTATCAGGATGTTTCTGCTCATGTGAAAAGGGACACAGTATCAAAGATTAACTAATTCCGGAATTAGAAAGGAGCAAGAGGAAATAAAATGTGAAAAGTTGTGAGAATTTCCAACACTTCCTCCACACACAAGCAGCCCTTAATCCTAGTAAACAATATTCAACAGCTACCACCTATCGCCTCAATTCGTCATTCTTGCCGGGTTGCCGTAGTCCCCGCGTTTCCTAGTAGACCCCCAGAGGACCATATTCCGGCGCAAATTAGTGGTCCACTCCTGCCACCGAGAACCTATCCAAACGGTTCACGGAATGATGGATTAACCGGTCGGGCCACCGCCTTTCCGGCAGACTGCCGTCTTCCAAAAGCACAGGACAACACCGCCTTCAAATGGGGGTCATGCCCGGTCCACGTTTCTTGGCAGCCTCTCCTGTGGCCACCGGTTCATCGCTTCTGGTTCGTCGCACTTCCCACGATATTGCAGCACACAGCTAGGCTGTCGGCACTTGCTAGGGTGCAGGGGTGGTCTGGTCCAAGAACCTTCTTGCGTCCCTCTAGTGCACGCCGGCTCATGGCCTCTGATTCAGCGTACTTTCCTTGGTCTTGCAGCACTGAGGCAAGGTTGCTGATACTTGTTAGCGTACTGGGATGGTCTGGTCCAAGAATCTTCTCGCGCCCTTCCAGTGAACACCGACTCATGGCCTCTGATTCATCGTACTTTCCTTGGTCTCGCAGCACTGAAGCAAGGTTGTTGATACTTGTCAGCGTACCGGGATGGTCTGGTCCAAGAATCTTCTCGCGCCCCTCCAGTGCACGCCGATTCATCAGCTCTGATTCCGGGTACTTTCTTTGGTATTGCAGCACCGCAGCCAGGTCGCAGACACTTTTTAGGGTACTGGGGTGGTCTAGTCCAAGAATCCTCTCTCGTCCCTCGAGTGCACGCCGATTCATCGTCTCCGATTCACCGTACTTTCCTTGGTATCGCAGAACCTCAGCCAGGTTGTTGACACTTGTTAGGGTGTGGAGGTGCTCTAGCCCGCGAACATTTTCAAACCCCTCCAGTACCCGCCGATTCATTGTCTCTGATTCATCGTACTTTCCTTGTTCTTGCAGCACTAGAGCAAGGTTGTTGACACTTGTTAGGGTGCTGTGGTGGTGTGGTCCAAGAATGTTTTCATACCCCTCAAGTGCACGCCGATTCAGCGCCTCTGATTCATCGTACTTTCCTTGGCGTCGCAGCACCGCAGCAAGGTTGCTGATACTTGTTAGAGTGCTGAGGTGGTCTGGCCCGAGAACTCTCCTGCGCCGCTCCAGAATACGCCGATTTATCGTCTCTGCTTCATCATACTTTCCCTGGTCTCTTAGCGCTAGAGCCAGGTACTCTATGTACTTTAGCATATCGGGGCTGTTCGGGCGTAATGACCTCTTAAGACCTCCGAGTAAAGTCCGAAATATCTTCTCGGTTATATTGCTCTTTCCTCGTTCTGCGCTTGCCACCCCCTGGCGCATAAATCTTCCTTGGGTCTCATTCTCCCAGCCATATTCTTTTCCCTTCCCCCGAAGTGCAATACATCGACGAAATTGGATCTCTGCATTGCTATAGGAACCTTGATCTCGAAAGTACTGTCCCATGCGAAAACAAAGGTCTTCGGCAGTGGGATCCGTTGAATCTTTAGTTACTGCAAGCGCATGCTGAATGTATACAGGACCGGTGTGTCGCCACCCGTCCTCACCCCGCGGGAACAGTCGTGAAACCGTGCTTAGCGCAGAGGCCCTCCCCCGACTCAACTCCTTAGTTGGTAAATACACTTGTAGTGACAGTTGGACTAAACGGTGAAGTTCGTAAAATCGTCTCCCCTCACATATAACAATCTCAACTAACGAGAATCCCAGGAGCTTTCCAATGGCCTGACGGAACTCGACCGGATCATCCATCCCTTCCAACCCGCATTTGCTCAATAGCTCCTCCGGTATATTTTGGCGATCGAGGAATGCAATTAGCCGCAGAAGCCGTGCCGCAGAGGGCATCTGTTTCGCGATGCGGTTAAAGGTGACAAAGAACGTGCCCAGGACACTTTCAGGTTCATCTACCGCTCGTCGAATGTCGCAAAACTGCTGTGAAAGCAGTCTCTTCGCTCGTTCATCGCTCTCCTGTAGAATTGTCCAGTACGTGGATGGTGATGACTCAGTCTCGGTCATGAAGGCTGCTACACCTATGATAGCTAGCGGCAAGTGATGCACCGAGGCTAGGATCATTCTGACTGCCGTTTTTTCCCCATCTTCCAAACCGAACCCGCTACCGTAACGCTTTGAGAACAACTCCTGGGCATCTTCTTCCTCCATTTTTCCAACCTCGATTATTTTACAGCCTTGCCGGGACGCAACTAGTCGGGATCTAGTCGTGAATATAACAGTTCCTTTACTTCCTTGCGGTATAAACCTGGCGACAGGACTGCTGTTTCCAGCAAAGTCGGTATCGTCGTCGGCATTGTCAACAACCAGAATCCAGTCACCACTGTTTGCACCTTCAAACCACCTCTTTATACACAGGAGGTATTCTGCTTCACCTGTTGTAGCACTGGCTAGCGGAATTCGAGCGTGCCGCGCAACACCTCTAAAGCCTTCGCTAAATTTCAACATTCCACTCCCCTGAACCCAGAAAACATGACAATCGCTCATGCTGATGCGCTGATAAACGTGTTCGAGAGCAATCTGAGTCTTTCTAAGCGATGTTAGTGTATCCTTCGGCATATGGCGAAATAATAAAGGCATACCCCGAGCCGCCTAATCCATGAAGCGCGATTCGGTTGTGCGTTGTCTGTTCCGAAAATCGCCTTACCAATTCCAGGAGATTCTTCCGGCCGGTGAAGGTATTGTTCCTTCCATAGGGGATTAAGCGATACGGCCCCAGCGCTGGCCCCGGTTGGGACAACACGTTAGCACTTTGCTAGGGATCTTTGGGGAGCGCAGGTAATACCTCCATCTCCAGCTCCAAACACCTCACCCCGATCTCCAACCCCGTCACCGGTCATATCCTGCATAACGTACGTGTTTCTGATAGTATTGTTACTACCGTAAACATTGTTATTACCCTCATTTCCACTATAGCTTCCATGGATGATGGGCTCGACTCGGGTAATGCTAGAACGGTTGTTAGGTTCATGATACTCATTTTTGGAGAGCGAGATGTTGAAGGAAAGAGTGACCAACCGATCCATCAAGCTTAACACTGGAATCTGGCTCAAGGAGAAGTCGTTATTGAAGGTCGGGTACGATAGAAATAAGATGCGGCTGGCTCATTCGTGGCGGTATCCTTTTTGGACCCGTAGAAACGGACTAAGTTATCTCGAGATAAGCTCAACAAAGAGCCCACCCTAGACAACAAGGCTATTGAGGAGTGGGATCCTAGTTACTGTTACTCGAGACCGGTGAAGGCTAAAGTTTTGAAATGAACTGCACATGGTAAAGTGCGGAAGAGAATGCTACAACAACATGGAAAATAGAAATGAAAAAGCTCGGGCGACAGGGCGGAGTAGGTCACGTGAAATGCAAAGAAACCATACCCACGACACAGGAAAAAAATAACTGGTTGGGTTCTAACTTAATTGGGATTCGGGCTACGGCAAGTACCGTAGGGGAATTTGTGTGGATGCTTGTTGCTGGAATTACGAGTACGGTACCGTACGTACTGTACTCGTACTCGTACAGGTTAATGATAAGAGAGAGAGGCAGTGCTCCCAGTCGTCCAGTCGGAGGCGACTGCGGTCGACTAAAATGGGTCAATGCACCAAGTGAAACTCAAACTAATACTAAAACATGGGTCTACTCAGCCACCACCCCGCCACTACCCAGCGACATGAGGTTGACCATAACAACGGGGTGGAATACGGGTAGTAGTAGATTACTATCCCTTATCCTGTACTCTAGTACTACATAAACTGGAAACTGGAACTCGCGCTAACTAGACGATCACAGGACGTCACTTGAAACATGGGTGTGGCAATTAACCGAATATCAAAATCAAGGACAAGTGACCAGTAGTAACAGTGTGTGGGTATATGATTCCTTCGGAGCAAATTTTGATTGATAATTCAATCCTGACTTTATCGAATGAAGTCTTTACATTTTAACTATTCAAGATTTCTGAGTAGGGCAGCTGGGTAAGGCAATCCTCTGAAGTACTCTATCTCAGCTTTGAGAGTAGATAGTATTTTCAACCATCTAATCCATTCATCCTTGGAGTAGGATGGATAGACTATAGCCTGGAGTCTATCTTTTTGAACTACTAGGATATCCTATGCCAGGGGCTGGTAGAAGTAGACAGACTACCAAGGACCACTATCCTACAGCCTGAAATCCTATAAACAGAAGGACCTTGCCAGCTACAATGTTTAAGGCCATTTCTCCAACTGTTTGTGGTATAATATGTTATCTCCCATAGTCCCCCACAGTCCCCAGCTATCCCCAGTGGTTACTTGCCACTCCCGGTGTCCTGCCATCTCTGCTGGTCTCCCACCATCCCTGGTAGTCCCTGGCCATCTCCGGTAGTCCTCTGTCATCCCCAGTAGTACCTCGGTGTCTCTAGCAGTCCCTTGCCATTCCCAGTAGTTTTCCGCGGTCCCTGGTAGTCCTCCGCCATCCGTGGTAGTCTCCCGCTGACCCTGGCAGTCCTCCTGCGTCCCCGGTAGTCCCCCAGCATCCCCAGTAGTCCTTCGCCCTCCTCGGGAGTCCCTTGTGGTCTCCTGCTGTCCTGGGCTGTTCTCTACCATCTCCTAGTAGGGCCCCTCTGAGCTCCCAGACAGTTGGGAACACTTAGAGCGGCTGTTACAATTATTCATCCTTCTGTATTCACAAATTCTACCTGAGTATCCAAGCCCTCTACTTGCGTAGAAACCATATTCCCTGTATTCAGACCGCTGTGATACAAGTTTCTTGAGCCTTCTACTACTTCATACTTCCAATTTCTGATTTGTAGAAGAGATGAAGGTATTGCTTTTATTTGAAGTTTATTGTCACAATGACCATTAGTAGGAAGAGCAAGTCTCAGTTTACAACCCGTTTGAAAAGCAGGTTCCTGATTCTGATTTAAAAAATCTCCCATGCCTGGCCAACTGCAACCTCGATGGGTAATGCGAATCTGTCTTTTAGCAATTGTGGAGGTATTGGTATGTGCTAATCCCTACAGGTTGGTGTTGTAGAGGTCTTAGTAGTTGTCTAATAATATGTCTAAGATACCATAAAGGATATCATTCAAGTTAAAAGGTTTATTGAAAGACCGGCTTACTGAGAGGATTCCTCAGACATGCATTCCCCCATCATCACGGGAGTATGCTGCGGAATGGGGAGGAATATGCATAGGGGAAGAGAGATGTGTCTGGTGGCCTAGGGAAGTCCCGGAATGCTTTTACCCAGTTCTACATATGCCCCTACCTCTACGGTTGGTTTATTTGAGAGAAGAAAAAACAATACAGAAAATGTATCTGACTGCCTTTCCTCCATAAAGCTGTTATACTGGATGAGAAGGAAGGTAGAATAGTCTGGCTTCGCTGGACGGCTCACCCCCTTATCCATAGGAAGAACCGGTAGTCCAACCGAGGAATGGCCAATAATTTCAGTCATTTTTCTCAAGTTAACTAGCTACTAACTTACAGATAGCTAGAGGTCGAGGCCTTTACCTTCTTGTCGAACCCAGGGTAGATCATGAGATACATTTATCCTCTTTGCCCCCTGGCCACATCCCTAATCGCGGGAGGCATGCTATTTGGCTTGTTTCAATTCCAACTAAGGTCAGATACGGTCCACTAGAAAATCATCCTTTGATCCCTCCCACTGAATCGCTTTCGTGAGGAGAGCCATGACTGAAGTGCTTCCTTACCATATACTCCGTGGGGGAACTCTGTACCGGACAGCCCGTGCAGGTAGTCACATAGTCGCCTAGTCTACCTGCAAGGTCCGGGTATTTTTGGATGGACCGCTTCACCCACGAAACATCTGGAATGTGGTTCCCCATGAGAAAATATCAGGGGGAAAGAGCATTGTCAAGGTTATGTGTTTGCGGGGAATACAGATATGTAAGTGAAGGCCTCCATATACAGATGGAGAGGTGTCCAGGATTTCATTGTTGATAACTACCACTTGCTTTAGTTCATCAAGAAGCAATAGCATCGCTACTAGTCTATTACAACAGGTAACGTGTACAATCCCTGGGCTTCCTTCTTACCCCCCCCTCCCTTCCTAAATCCAGTTGTGCAGTTCCCCCTCCGCTTGAGGGGGCAACTATCGCCATCTGGCTCACTAAAAGATCTCGACTGTTGTAACTCCCATCAAACTACTTCTCCCCGAAATACACCCCCCCCCCATACAGAAAGTCGAGGAGTGTTCCAATAGTGAGGGATTGGGATGGTAGATTTTCCACTTCCGGAGGTCCTACCCAAGGGCGTGTTCAAGGCTAATTCAATTCACTACAATCAAGGAGCGAAACAATAAGAGAGCAGATAACTTAAACTAATTTAAGATAAATGGTCAATGCTAACAACCCGGAAGATGGAAGAAAGGCAAAGTGGGAGCTAGTCTACTATAAATTGACGTAAAACAGGAGGAGGTCCACTTATAGACAAACTGAAAAGAAAATGAAACTCTTCATCACTGTGACGAATCACCAGTGATCACTCGATGTGTAGACCTGTGCTCTTGTAGGCACAGAAAAACCACTAGGACACGATGCTGGTAGCCCTCCAGAGTTTGTGTTTCCGCACTCCGCGGTTATACGAAGAGGGATACATAGATCCAGAGGCCGGTGTGCGGGGTGGGATTCACTAAACCGCGGCGGAGCCTGTCAGGGAGCGGGGGTGGTCAGACATGGTCCGATGGGGAGCCCCGAGAAGCAACATAGGGAAATCGGGAAATGTGTGTCCACCGCACGCCAACAGGGAAACAGCGCGGGAATTGGGGGCAAATTCTTGAATCCGGCTGGCCTTCTATTATAATTTATGTTATGAGAGCCGGACTGGTTAAAAAGGTGATCGTTGAGTGTTGGAAAGCCTTAGAGGGGAGTAAGGGGTCAGGGAAAGAGGAAGGTAATAGCGGAATTTGAAGAAGGCAAACAGACGGCGAGAACCTCGACAAGAAGCACAGGAGAATACGGGGGTGTGTGAGTATTCAGCGGCGTACGTATTCCGACGACAGCTATGGGCTGGTGCTGGTGGAAAGGCTCGCATAGTTGTAAGTTACTGCCAGTGGAGGAGAGAGGAGATATCCGTCCTTCGGAGAAAACGCTAGCTATGATAGGAGGTATGATATAGATGTAGAAAAATACCACAACTAGGGTATACCCCCATACAGGCAACAAATACACACATCCACACACCTCCGCACATCCACACATATCCACACATATGATACATATCCACACATATCCACATACACATACATATGGCCCTGAATGTCAGTTTATCATCCGCTGCGGGATTCTAACACCCTCATGAGTGATACCCCCCCCCCGATGGGCTCGGGGATGCCTTATTTATATTGTTTGTGATGTAACCCTGAGTCAGTCCACTCTCTGTTCCGGCCTAGCACTCCCAAACACCTCCCAATAACGATGAACCCCAAAACCGTGGTGGTTGGCAGAACAGATGCATAAATCATTCACTTGACAAAGGGAAGGCAGTCTTATAGCTAGAGCGAGGGCACACGCAACGCGTAACCATCAGAAAGAGAGCACTGCTGGGCTTATACATACCGGATTCTACTCTCTTTGCGGGTAGTTGTAATGATGGCTCCCACTTTGGCTAGATGATGTATCCATGCATATATATGTTGCGTGTGCTAAGCGTCATCGCGTCATCGCCCAATTTCCATATTCGTGCTCAACATCTCTGCTCTAGCGTTAATTGCATATCGTTCGGTGAGGCTTCCCACAGATCCTATTCATTTTCGTTTTGGTAGGGCACAAGTAACGAAAAATTAGCTGGATCAACGACGGGCGACAACCTTGAGCCACTACGGGCCTCCCGCCTTTACGGGAGTACCCTATTCGAGCCTGAATTGCTTCTCGTGCATCCCAAGAGAGGGAGGTGTTCTTCCAGAGTTTCGGAGAATACTCGCCAACCCTCGGATATGCCTTTTCAGCTTGGCGGTATTGTCCGAGGCAACCTAGGGGTCCAGTCTACTCTGGACGAACAAGCCGCATGCCGATATCTACTAATCCCAGACGTAGTCTCCCACATCGCCGTACTTTCCTCGGCCTCGGGGAATCGGAGCGAATTTGTCGCTAGTATAATATTATGCACCGCGGGGTTTGGGTATGAGTCCTTCTCATTGCCCCTCATCGTGCACGGAGCTACAGCTTATGGTTCACCATAGGGCGGTTTTGTCCACAACAACATGGCTAAGGTAATAGAGGTTCTGTAAGGATCTGGACCAAGAACATTTTCGCATCCATCCGCTACAGGATCGCCCGTCTCCTCTGACCCATCGCACTTCCTCTGAAATCGCAGCATGTATCAGAATATTTATGACCAGGTGGGAAGGCACACAGCGCCGATCTCTATTCAACATGAACTAGGACACTGTTTTAAAGGGAAAGTGACAATGAGAAAGAAAATGAAAAAAGAAATTAAAGATTCCGGACACTTCCTCCACACACAATTATCCCCCGGTCCTATGAAAGAACATTTTTTAACAGCTTGTGACCCACCGCCTCTAATTCGTCATACCTACAGGATCGCCACGGTCGACATTTTTCCCGACAGACCCCGAGAGTCTCCTGCATAAGTAGAAAATGATAGCCTACTCCGGTCACCTGGAGTTCAACCGAACTGACTGCAATATAACGAATCACTTTGGCTGACCATGCTCCTCGCCAAAAACTGCAGTCCTCCAAAAACACAGGACCACAGGTCCCTGCAAAACCTGGCCACTTCTGGTCACGCTTTCTGAGTAGCCCCCCCTGTGCATGTCGATTCAGCATGCTCTTTTTGAGATTGCAGCATCATGGCCAGGTTTTTAGCACACTTCTGAGTCTCGGCGTTGTCTGGCCCGAGAACTTTCTCATACCCCTCCAGTGCGCGCCGACCCATTAACACTGATTCATCGTACTTTCCCTGGTAGAACATCACAGCAGCCAAATGGCCGGCGCTTGTCAGAGTGTTGGGGTGATCTGGTCCAAGAACCTTCTTATACCCCTCCAGTGCACGACGGTTCACCGTTTCAGATTCCGCGTACTTTCTTTGGAATTGCAGCAGCACACCCAGGTTGTTGAAACTTGATAGTGTAGAGGGATGGTATGACCCAAGAACCTTCTCATACCCCTGCAGTACGCGCCGATTCATCATCTCTGACTCATAGTACTTTCCCTGGTTTTGCAGCACAAGAGCCAAGCTGCCGGCACTGGTTAGGGTGTCTGGGTGGTCCGGTCCAAGAATCTTCTCACACCCCTCCATTGCACGCCGGTTCATCACCTCTGATTCGTTGTGCTTATTTCGGAAATGCAGGATGGAAGCTAGGTTGCTGACGCTTCTTAGAGTGTCGGGGTGCTCTAGCCCAAGAACTTTCTCGCACTGCTCCAGCGCACGCTGGGCCATCGCCTCCGATTCGTCGTATTTTCCTTGGTGGCGCAGCACGAGAGCCAGATTTTCCGTACACGTTAGGACGTCGGGGTGGTCCGGTCTAAAGACCTTCTCATATCCTTCCAGCGCACGCCGATTCATCTCCTCCGATTCACCGTACCTTCCTTGGCCTCGCAGAGCCAGAGCCAGGTTGTTGGCACTTGTTAGGGTGTGGGGATGGTCTAGTCCAAGGATCTTCTCGCGCCGCTCGAGTACTTGCCGATTCATCTTTTCTGATTCGTTATATTTTCCTTGGTCTTGTAGCAGCAGAGCTAGATTGTCGGCGCCTGTTAGGGTGTCGGGGTGCTCCGGTCCAAGAACTTTCTCATACCCCTCTACTGCACGTCGATTCAGCTTTTCTGATTCATCGTACTTTCCCTGCCGTCGTAGCGCTAAAGCCAGGCAGAGGATGCACTGCAGGACGTCAGAATTGTATGGACCCAACGACTTCTCAATACCCTCCAGTAATTCCCGAAATATCTTCCCAGCCTCATTGGCCTTTCCTTGAAGGGTATACGCCACTCCTAGGAGCCGAAATCTGCTTTGGCATTCATCACCCCAGTCATACTCCCCACCCTCCTCTCGAAGCGCAATACATCGACGAAATTGTACTTCTGCACCATTGTAGGAGCCTGTATCTAGAAGGTACTGCCCGACGCGAAAACCAAGTTCCTCGGCGATGGGACCCGTCGAATCTTTTGTTACTGCAACTGCGTGTGGAACGTAGACAGGATAAACACCTTGCCGCTCGTTCTCGTGTCGCTTAAGGAACCGTGAAACGGTGCTTACTGCAATGGCCCTCTCTCGATTTAGATCTTCTGTTGATAAGTACACTTGTAGAGATAGGTGGACCAAACGATGAAGCTCGTAAAATGGTTTCTCTTCACATTTGACGACCGTGACCAAAGAGAATCCCAATAGTTTTCCAATGGCTCGGCGAAATTCAACCGGATCATCCATCCCTTCTAGACCGCTTTGGCTCAACAGCTCCTCAGGAATGTTTTGGCGATCAAAGAGCGCCATTAGCCGAAGAAGGTTGGCAGCTGCTGGCATCTGTTGGGTGATTCGATCAAATGTGGCAAAATAGGTACCTATGATACTCTCGGTGACATCAATCTCGCGTCGGATATCGCAGAAATGTTGTGAAAGTAGTTCCTTGGCTCGTTCATCGTTCTCTTGGAAGATAGTCGAGTACGCGGATGGTGGTGTGTTGGTCTCGATCATGAAGGCTGCCGCGCCTATGATGGCCAGCGGCAGGTGATCCACCGAGGCCAGGATCATTGTGATAGCCTTTTTTTCTTTACTTTCCGGGCTGTCCATGCTGCCGATGCGTTTTGAGAACAGCTCCTGTGCATCTTCTTCCTCCATCCTTCCAACTTCAATCATTTTACAGCCCTGCCGGGATGCAACCCGTCTAGACCTGGTGGTCAATATCACGGTCCCTTTCGTGCCTTGCGGTATAAATTTGGCTATGGGGCTGCTGTTTCCGGCGAAGTCGGCATCGTTGTCGGCGTTGTCAACCACCAGAATCCAGCTGCCACTGTTTGGGCCTTCGAGCCACCTCCTTATACTCAGAAGGAATCCCTCGCCATCTGTCTCCGTGCCGGGTGGGGGGATTCGAACATGTTGTGCAACGTCCCTAAGGCCCTCAGTGAATTTTAATAGCCCGCTTCCCTGCACCCAGAAAATATGGCAATCACTCTCGCTGGCACGTTGGTAAACGTATTCGAGCGCAATCTCGGTTTTTCTGAGGCAGGTTAGCATATCCTCCATGTTGTGAGATGATAGATACACATACCCGGAACCGCCCAATCCATGGAGTGCGATTCGGTTGTGAGCATTGGATTCGGAAACCCTCTTTACCAACTCTAGCAGCTCTCTACGGCCAGTGAAGGTGCTGTTTCTGCCGTAGGGGATCAAGCGATAAGGCCCGGATGCTTTTTTCGGTTGGGATAGCACGTTAGCGCGCTGCCGGAAATACAACTGGAAACTTGTTAATACCTGCTTCTCCAACATCAAACACACCACCCCGATTTCCAATCCCAGAATTCGTCGTATCGGGCAGCATATACACGTTTCTGATGGTATTATTATCACCAAAAACATTGTTATTACCCTGATTCCCGCTGTAGCTTCCGCTGATGTTGGACTGGACTTGGATAACCCTAACAAGTTCGTTAGTTGTGTAATTCCAGTGTTGAAATCCTAGATATTAAAGGGAGGAGTGGCCTACCGATCCATTAAGTCTAATATTGGACCGATATGAAAGCGTTTTTAGGGGTCGCGTTGGCACAATGGCAAGAGGGCCTGGCTAACTTGTTCGAAGTGATATCCCTTTTCACGACCCGAACAGGTGATGACGCGCTATATGCGAGACGAAGAGCCTGCCCTTGGGTTCCGGGGCAGATGATTCTCTGTATCCGGGTCGGTTATGGGGTAGGATTCCGATGGAGCTGGTGGTGCTCGAATTGGGTGAAGACTAAAGATTCGGCAAAGCATGTAAGAGTGTTAGGGCTCGTAAGTGAATATTGGAAAATGGAATGTGTGGGTGACCGGGTGGAGAAATGCCGGGTTGGAGAAGGGGCCCGCGAGAAATAAATAATTCTCGGTATCACACGCACTAAGCTCTGTGCAACTTTGGACGGGATACTTGAGTACACGGGTACTAGTACGAGTAGTAGTACTCTACAGTACTCGAGTACGTACTTGGCTGAGCTCTTGTTGGGACCCGAGCCGCTGCCAGTACCGGGCAGCATAGCCTCACATGTACTCGAGTACTGTAAAATTCCCTCAACCTGCCTCGTACTGTACGCCACTGTACTGTACGCCCCCTAAAAGTGCTTGGGCGGATGTTTGCCATTGAACCTCCCAACCCGAAGGAGAATCCCGCAAGTAGCCCACGTACTTGTATCATACCCACCCGTCCTTGCCCAACAAGGTGAATGCTCGGTTAGGGCTCCCGCAAGCTACTAGTATCGGGTAGAGGAGGTACCGTATTCTCAGTGACCATGCGTTGGTATACATGTACTGTGCTCGTAGACCCCGAAGCAAGCCTTCCAATGGGTCAGCCCGGGCTCAAAAAGGGCCGACCCGGCCCAGCCCAAGCCCAACGAAATGTGAGCCCGACCCAGCCCAACCCAGGGAAGAATAGCCCAGGCTCACCCAACGAGCCCAACGAGCCCATTGGGCTTATGCACCAGTGAAGAGGTATAGAATAAGTCAACCCAGATCTATTAATCCTGAATGAAATACAAAAGTGCAGATAAGAACAGAGATTGAGCAAAACAAGTAGATAAATACAATATAGCAATAAATCATGACAACTTTCAATAGAAAGATCCTGGTTTAGTGGGAGTGCCAGCTTCGGAGACACTCAGTTGACTCAATTGTTTGTGCGTTGAGGGAGTGGCGGGAGTCCAAAATTGTCCTCTTGGCTCCGGAGAATATGCGTTCAGGTTCGGAAGACATGGCAGGAATCGACAGCACTGAAATCGCCCATAGTGCGAGTATTGGATATTCAACTTGTTGTCAATCCTCCAGCCACCAACTAGAAGAATATTAGTAATAGGGCAATTGGAAAGTTGATTCTAATTTAAATGAAGGTTAAAGAGAAAGAACATACAGAAGAGGATTTTGGATACTAGGTTCCGGTTCAGCATGTGAACAATACCGCTCGTAGTCATCTGATAAAGCCGGTTCCCCAGTGGCTCGAAGATCCATCCAGGCCCAAAAAGGATTTTCCTCCTCTTCTGGTGGGTCAGGTGTAGGGCTGGAATGTCCATAATCCCTCCGGTCACGCTCTTCTGGTTGACCAACAACCCTGTTTAGTCGATCCTCCTTCTCTTTATTAGCTAGATACTGTAACCAATATCCTTTTAATCTTTGCTTCCCACTTTGAATCCAATTTCGATCCCACTTAACCTCAAAGTACCGCCACTTTAGCTTTGGATTTAAAACTACTGCAGCAAGATAGACAGGAGCTGTATCTGTAGCAGAAAAATACTTGTCTAATTTTTCCTATCCCATGCGAATCATTGAGGATAGTACTCTGTTATCAGCATTATCCTTAAGGGCCTCACTATATGTATTAAGTAAAAAGTCAATAGAAGGTAAAAGATGTGTGAGGGTTGCTTGATGTCCTTCCGTAGCCTTTGTAGCAATCTTAAATGCAGATAAGATTTTGTAAACCTTTTCCAGCAGTCTCCACTCGCGCCTCTCTAATCTATCCTCCTCTAATTGAGGATTCTCATCCACATAGACCTCAATAGCATGGCGTAGGTTAGGGCGCAGGAGTGTTTCAAGAAGATTATGCCAGGAATTCCATCGAGTAGCATTATTACGTTTAAGCAAAGTTCCCCCACTCAGCTCACAAAATCGCTTTATTCGAGATGGTGTTTTCCGTGTATGTAGGGCAATGTTATGGGCTTCGCCAAGTGGACCAATAGTCCTCCATTTTTCTAGCTCGTGCTGTAACTGCTCCGGAGTAGCATTTGACCATTCCAGGCTATCATGTAAAGCGCTCTCACTACTCCCAAAGAGAAAGTCCCGAACACTTAAATTGATGATATGTCCAATACATCTGCCAGAATAAATTAATTGATACACTCAAAATTAGAGTATGCTAGAAGTAAATAGAGAGGAGAAAAAAATGATAAAAGTATTTTCTTACCTTAATCTTTTCTCAAAGCATTGAAGCAAAGTCCTGCCTCAAGTTGGACAGTCTCGAGATGGTCCATGAAAGTATCATTATTTGTCGCATTGTCCATCATAATATACCCAGTCTTGTGTTGAATTCCGTATTCCCTGACAACCTCTAAAAAGGTTCGACATTGGTTCTCTCCACTGTGGATTCCCTCGAGCTCCCGGAGAGCAAGCAGCGACCGCTTCAGATTCCCGGATTCATCTGTATAATGGGCCACAATTCCAAGTAGTGCCAGGTGGTTCGGCGATGTCCACAAGTCTAGGGTATAGTGGATAAGTGATTGGGAACTCTGAAGGGCTTTTGCAATTTCCTTTTTTTCACACGCATAGGAGCGGGAAATCCAACTACAAACGATAGTAGATGATGTAGGAAGTATCTGGGCGGCCTCTGGACGGATAGCATATATCAGGTCATGAAACTCCTGCCAGGTGGGAAAGGTGAAAGGTAAATTATGACGCGTAATGAGACGCATCTAGAATCATTCATATTAACAAGGGTGACAGAAGATATGAGAATTACCACCAGCATTCAATAAATGCTACTTACATAGAGGATTTCTAAGGACTCCACAACAAGGGGAGGAAAGTTCTGTTCCTCTTGTTCTTTATTATTCTGTATTGCGGTATTAAGTGCACTGATTCTCTGGGATTCAGCTACTGCTGCTACTTGCATTGATTTCTCAATTGACAGCTAGGCTTGCTTCAGGCGCTTTGTCTTCGTTGAGGGTTCTTCACTAATTGAATGAATGCGTATGAGGTGTGCTGCCGGATTCCGAGTACCATGAGCCTTTTGATACCTTTGGAGACACCGAACACATTGCCAATATCTAATAACCCATGAATCTCCGGTTAGCTCATACTGATGGAATACCGACTAAATCTTAATCCCATATTCAAGTAGCAGAAGACTTACTCGATATCATCTATTATTACTAACTTTTCATTAGGAGACCCAGGAGGACCCCATACCCACGACGAAGGCAGTGGACTTTTTCTCTTTCTTCAGGAACTAGTATTTGGTGGAAGTAGGTAATCGCGGTGATATTCCGATTCCTCCGGGTATTCTGAACCGGCAATCTCACGTTCAGTTGATTCTGAGTGCTGAAAGTCGGGAAGTGGACTTGGAGATAGCAGTATCGCCGGAGGACTAGAGAGATAACTCCCACTGTTAGAAGAAAAGCTCATAGTTTTTGTATTGGTACGTATAAAGAATAGGAAATGCAAGTGGAAGTAAGAGCACAGGAATGAAAAAAGGAGCAAGTACAAGATAGAGAAACAATATCATGATCTGAAAGAGTTACTCACGGATTTCTTATACTGCAAATCTGGAAATCGAGTGAGAATCCAAGAGCAGATCTAGTACAATAAAGGTTAGTTTTAAACTAAACTATCTCGATTCAGGTAAGGCTTTATTCCTACCTTACTTCTTATAGCAACGGTGTTCCACAACCCAGCGTGCTCGGACTATGGTTTCCCTGGTAATACGGGGTGAGAAACACAACGCAAACCTTAAAAATAAGGTGAAACATTCGATGGGTTCGCTGGGTGACCCGGGCTTGCCCCCCCCCCCCGGCCCGGCCCAGCCCAAGGAAGACAATTCATCAGCCCAGCCCAATGAACCCGACCCAGCCCAACGAAGAGCCCGGGCTAACCCAACGAAGGCTGGGCCCATTGGAAGGCTTGCCCCGAAGTTAGAGCTTTGCGGCAACGATATCGACTACACCTTGACGCCAGCAGCACTCCTGGTGACAAATTTTTTTTCTCTGTACTCGTACCTGCTACCCGTATACGGTAGGCGCCCGGCTTGGATGCGGCAGCACGGTTATCTTTTCACACAAGTCACATTGCAGCTAAGTGTCGCCGAGCCGATGAACGGGCATGAAAGCCCTCATATCCCCCACTCCCTGAACCAACAGTAAAAAATTTCAGTACCGTACGAGTACTCGAGCACCCCCCGACAGCGTGCTTCCGGCCTTTGCGAAGATGCTCCATGGTCTTTTGGGCTGCCTCGGGACGATACGCACATTTTAGCACAAAACCCCAGCGACGGGCTGCGCCGTGGGTCTTGACTACGATCTGGTTGGGAAATCTCGTGTGAGAACCTACCGGCATCATGGCACTGGAGGACCCCGGGGCTCGTTTGTCACTTATTATCTGTACTAGAGGCATAGTAGACACCGACGGCCATACGGTAAATTTAGTTCCGGCACTTTAAAACACCGTAAGCTATCGCGGCTCAGGTTGATTCT